AAAAAAATGAATGTGTAAGGTCTCCTGTTGTGAAAAGATTGAGAGAGCAAGGAAAGCGAAACATTGTACTTTACCTCCATGAGGGAAGAACTGTGAGTAAATGTGTTTAAATGTTTCCTCATTCACCACACCACTTGGACATTCCTGTGGAAAAAAAGGAATTAGGTTACTGTACTCAGTGACATGGATGATTTTGTTGGAAGAATTCACCAAACTGTGCAGTCTCACGCATGTGACCCTAATTATCTTTGTCCCTGGAGTATATTCTGACACAAATTTTAGCATGTTAAATGTTCAGCAGTAAATAAACACTTCACAATATTTTTCATAGCAAGGTCTTTAGCTTGGGACATATCAGCTACGTTGAAGATGGTTTCATGAAATAACATCAGTTCTGTATTTCTAGCCACTGTAGCAGCTGTGGCTTGTCCCACCAAACACTAGACTAAAATATCTCAACAATTAGTGGATGGATTAAATGTTGTAAATAGTCATGGTCCCAGAAACATATGACTTTGGTAATCCCCTGATTTATCATCTAGCGCCACCAGCAGTTCAAAGTTGATACTTTTTGACCAAATACTGGCAAAATAAACAAATTCACATCAGTCTCAACTGTTCTTTGTGTTTTGTACTAACTAGTATTCATACTAATGTCTTCATACTGAACACACTCACATTCTCATCATCTAGGTAATAGAAGGTTAAAATCAAGTGCAACTGGAGTTAGAGCATTACAACAGCCAGGAGCACTGACAAACCGAGCAGCATCCATCACCTTGATAACGGCCCGCAGAGGTTAATGGCTGAGATTCCCACCAGAACTGAATGACCTTGGATGGGAGGCGAGGCTCTTCAACGTGAGCTAGCCAAGTCCAGCTGCCCTTGATTTTAACCTTCCTTGGATCATTGTGAGTGTGCTAGCATGCTAACGTTTGCTGTGCCCAAGTAGAGCCTCATAGAGCCGCTAGTACAGCTGTAGTCTTGTACAATAGAAACTTCTGCATGGCTAGATACACTAGGGCAAATAGGAGTTAGGGTTATCTAATTTTTTTAATGTAAGTATCTGGAATGAATGCTATGTATGTACCAAAGTAATCTAAAAATAAAATCAGAAAATGTGTGATTTACATTCTTGAAACCACGATAGAGGATCTGCAGCTCCTGTTTGGTGAAATTAGTTTGGGCTTCCAATTGCTCAAGACCCTCTGGCCTGTAACACACCGTTGTCATCTCAAGCTCATCATCTGTTTTATCTACAGGAAGAGAAAGAGAGAGTGAGATAGAAGATAGTTATTACAGAGAGTCATGTCAAGACTTCTACATCCCTGTTGAACATATGTTCTTCCCAGTTTTTGGAAATATCAAAACTATTACACACAGGAAAGAGAACACTCAGCGAAGCTTGAGATTGTTAAATTGGCAGGAAACGTCAAAAGTTTCATTCAACAGCAGAAATGAGCTTACAGAGATACACCTCAAGCAGTGGAAAAATGAGGCAGAATGAGGTCAATATAAAGAAAAAAGGCTGGATTTGAGAAGAACTACATGTACGTCACAAATAGATTTGCCCTTAGGAGTTAAGGGACTTTATTAATGGCAACTGGTGCTCAGTATCGTGTGTTTGGAGATGGATGGTGGTTAATGATGTGAAGAGTTCTGGTGCTGCTGAGAGCAAGTGTTTGTCACTATGACTGCCTTCAGCTACAGGGCAATGCTAACATCCTGTTATCCGGCAGTGGACACAATCCACACAGCAATGAGTTTTCAAACATGAGCAAACATCCAAGAGAAAACAGCAACATAAAGTGCACTCTTGATATAGTTTTGACCTCACTGGCAGGGGCAGAACATTAGGAAAAATGGACAAGAAACTAAACCTAATAGCGGCACACACATCTGCTGCTTTATATTAGTCTGTAAGGATGACATGTTTGCACATGCTGGTCTCAGTACTTTGGATGATTACTTTTAAGTGAAATTACATAGTACATCCTAGATTAATAATTTTAACACAAGGTCAAAACCCCATTCACTCGCCAAAGTCCACAATGAAAGCTGACCAGAAAGCACCCTTTTACGACTTGACAAATGTTCTCATGTGCATACACGTGAGTCCAAACAAGCTTTAGTAGCTGTGTCAGCTTAAGAAAGGAGACTGCTTTTCGATGGATATGATGGCTCACTCATTTATGCCCATTCAACAGGGGTGTCAGGATGATCCTCAACACTGAAACTATATCTGGAATCATGCATCTCTGTCAGAGACAGGCTAATCTTAATTACAATTTTATATCAATATATCCTGTTTGTCATCCACATCCATTATCTGCATTTGTGTCTACTTTAATTTTGAATCATCTTCATTTCCATCCTGCTTGTTATTTATTAGATTTCAGTTATGTAAGTTACACACGGTATTTCTGTGGCTACCCTATTGGCTTTATGCTCATATGAACTAATGTGAAATTACAAAATAGTTTGAAGAGATCTTCCACATGTATGGAAAACTATAAGAACAGCCCAGAGAGATCAGTTATCAGCTGAACATACAGTATATGGTTTGTTTCATTTGGTTATGTAGCTCATGTTCCTCCTCTGTGGTTCTTGTTGTCATGGGGATAGACAGAATGTGAACAGTAGTGGGCACACTGGATCAACTAATCAAAAACAAAAGAGCTATCAAACAGAATTTGTACATTTATTTTCCCACTGAATAGAAGCCCCCCCATCACACGAGGTGTCAATACTTGTATGCATGTATTCTTGCTGCCGAAGGTGGATTTGCTTTCCTGCAAATGTGACAAGTGTGATAAAAAACAGATGAAATGATGTGAGGGTGAGAAAAGGAAACAGGCAGAGGTGTTGATTAGAAGGGGTGAGACATGGGGCGTTGGGGGAGAGAAAGGAGGCGGAGTGTGAAGTAAAAAGGGAGTGAAAGAGAACACACATGGCAGGATTACACAATATGTTTGGAGGACACAAAAAATAAAGAAAATGGGATTTTATGAAAGACAACACTCAAACACTGAGCTATTGATCTGTGAGATTTTTATGGAAACCGCAACTATGGGCTTACAGTCAAGTCAGTGAGTCAAACACTGTCACTAACCTTTCTGACTTCATGGGGTCAAGTGTCAACTACTAGAACGTAATTTGTTAACAGAAGCAACTACTCAGTGACTTCTTTACATAGAATGGGACACATCCTAACTTGGACTTCCATAATAACACCAAGGGAGCAAGCACGCTAGCTCATATTGCTTATAAAGACCAGAACTATTGATAATGTTGATTGACAGTAAGACAGACAATCGTTTCTTGCACTGGAGTCTCTGCTTATTGCCTTTCCTCACAGTGGCGACAAAACACCAAGAAGCTTCTCTTCCCGTGCAGCCAGTAATTAATTGTGGCACATAAACCCCACAAAACCACACAAGTCTTTTCATTTTAATTTTTATACATTTTAGTTAGTGAGCTTTGGTGCTGGTAGGCATATTTTGTCTGCAGAAAGTGCCAGGCTAGCTGTTTCCCCTTGCTTTCGGTCTTTGTGCTAAGCTAAGCTAATTGGCAGCTGGCAGCAGCATCATATTTACTGTACAGACAAGATAGTGGTAATCTTCTCATCTAACGCTACAAAGGCAATAAGTGTATTCCACAAATATGCAGTAGTGTCTGTAGTATCTGATGACAAAGAAGGTTGTTTCAAACTGACAGCAAATACTCATTGTTTTCTTTTACTTTCTATTTTTTGATATTCATGTCATGGAACGACAGCAGCTGTTGCTACAAATCAGCAGTGACTTTGGTCTGTGTCCTCTGTTCAAACTTGTGCTGTGATTTCTTACAAACCAGGAACCACAGACATATCTACTATACTTGTAACATATACATATAGGATGGCTGTACGGTGGCCGGCGATGCAGAAATATGTGTTTTTTGACATTTACTGTATGCTCAGTGGCCTACAACATATCGTTGTATATACTTTGGTTTTTCACTCTGACTTATTTTTATTTTTATGCTGCTTCAGCCTACTCTCTGCCCTGTTTCTTGTGCTGCCATAATACTTATTTTCCCTCCTGTGGATCAATAAAGCTTCATCTTGTCTTATCTATCTCAAATACCTCTCCATTGCTGATATAACAAGACAAACTTTAATGGACCTTAGTGTGGTGTTTTTTCTTTTCTCTTTTGCTCAAAAGCTATTTTTTCAAAACAAGGATGAATGATCCCATCTCATCTGTGCAAAAACAATTACCAAACACCCCCTTGTCCTGCGGGGTGTTTGCTGGTTCATCTATTTTATCTCTATGTCATGTTGCTATAAATTCATCATTCACCCTAGCTGAGTGTTGTTCACACTCTCCTCTTATGCCCCTACAACCCAGTCTCCATGACAACGAGGATCTCAGGCATAAGGCCAGGGAGAGGTATGATATGTGAGCTGCATTTTAATTCCCATGCTCTCGCCTGAACCCTTTCACATATGCACAACACACACACATCACCTAGTCAGGGGGAGTGATTTTGCTCTCTAGTTATTTTCAAGGACATCCTGGCATACTGTAATTTCTCCATCACTGCAGTACATATGTTATGCCTTGCACCTCTTTTCACTTTATTTAAAAAGCTACTCTTACTTTCTGTTTATCCATACGCTTGTATATGCATCATGCTAGTGGTTCATTTACTTTACATGTTAGTAAATCCATTAGCCTGTCAATTTTTAATGATTTCCTTGTTCAATAATTTACAGTCACTCCACAGAAATATGGCAAACACGTGATGTCCTTGCTTACGCTAAATGTGCAACACATAGACAAACAACAACCACATGTTATGAGTGACAGCTGGTCTAAATTCTCATCTTATTCCCTCTGCTCTCTCTCTCTCTCTCTCTCTCAGTTTGGTCTCTTTCTGTTGCTCTTCTGTCTTCTCTCCATCTTTTTCTGACTAATGTTGACGTACCTCTGGATGGTCTCCTCCTCTGCTTGGTTTGCATGGTCAAAGTGCCCACCACTGCACCCATGTTGTCACCGTGGAAACCAGCCTGGTCAAACAACCTAGAGAGAAATATTCCTCTATTGTCTTTTTCACGATTTTGTCAGCCAGTCGTTCTGTCTTCATCTGCCTCGACAGCTCTGTATCTTTGCCCCTGTTGTTTCTCCTCACTGATTTCAGATCTGTCACTGAGGGACGACTCTATTCTGTGTGAGCTGATTCTCTTGGATTTCTGATCTCTTTCTCCAAATACACACACACACACACAAGCTGCTCCTGCCTTTCTGCGCCACTCCCTCTGTTCTGTTCTTCATTCTACTCATCTGTCAGCCTTTCCCCCTCTTTCTAGCTCCCTGCCTCCTCATGCCCTCATGTTACTGTGGAGTGCTGGTAACCGATGCTGTACTCAATAATAACAGTGCTCACAAGTGAATGGTAGCAGGTGAAGGACGTGCGTTTAAAGCAGACAGATCGTGATCACTAAATTCTCTCTTTACTGCCCTAAAATACAAAGATACACATATATAACACAACTCAATGGTTAATGAGGAGATTTAGTAGTGCTGCTCTGCTCCCTGACGCATGATTTGTACCATAATGAGCCTGTGGATACATGATAGCCGTGAAGGCTGCCCACTTTGTTTGTGTAAAATCCACCAGAGCAACGCAGCTAGACCTTTCTCTCTAATGTGGAGGGCAACAGAGAGCGAGTAGTTTTTTTTTTTTTTAACTGTGGTACAAACAAAACATTAATGGTGTCAATGTGTTTTCACAGAGCGGCTTCAATTTAAGAAAATGGCTGTGTGCATTGGGGGAAGGAAAGCAGTGGGAGTAAGTAATGTTTATTTCCCTACCAGTGGTTACTGGAAGCAGAAGTAAACATTTATTATATTAACAGTATATCATTCAGTGTGGTAGAAGCAGCTTCTGAGTAAAAATATAACTTAGACAGGATATTACTGCAGTCTGTGTTAGGATTTGATATATTATCTGACATATAGGGGCAGTGATTCTCTGCTGGAGTCTCAGCTGAAGATCAAAATTCACAATTATGTAATCTAAGGTAAGACATTAAAAAAGTTGCTGCTTTGGTCTAGGTCCATGTGCTGTATGGAGTAAAGCACAGAAAATGTGAATGTCTTTTTAAATATTCCACTGGCTGCAGACCATAAATGTAAATGCCCTCTCTGCCTCACTCTTTCTTTGTGTGTGTGTGTGTGTGTGGGCTTTAGAAAACCTCTCTTGTTTTAAAAAATTCATGGACTGCCATTTCTTCAGTGGCGTTTCAGCTTTCTTGTTTCTTGAAAGTTGCGTTCTACTTCCTCATTTAGAACTGTAAAAAGAGTGAAATCCATCCGCTGGCGTTGACTGACAAAAAATACGGAGGCTAAACTCTGTAGTCTTTCATAAATACATTATTTATTCCGTCATAGTTATGTGAGCCTTCAAAACTTGCCATATCCCTGCTATGGCTTTGTCTACAAAATTTAAATAGGAGAGGACTGCACAGAACCAAGTATGCAGGTCACTAGTATTCAAAATAAGTGTGTGTGTGCGCACGCGTGTGCGTGTGGTTTGCTTAGAGCAGTCCTGTGATTGCGCAGGTGGACCTGAGGTAAGAACTTAACATGTGCCGATTAATTAAACATAAAGTCATGTATAATTCTGATAAATCTCACACGCTAGGTGTCCTACCTTTTGCTTCCAGTCCCGTTCCTTTCTGCATGCCAATTTCCACCTTTCAAATACTATCACACAAAATAAAGATCTGACCTTATCACATTAGCAAATATTTAACCCTTGTGCATTTTATGCAGTGATTTCCCTGTTCCCAAATATTCTTATATATAAATATACTTTTCCTTACTATAAAATCAGCATAGTCAGATCATCTCAGACCGGGAAGCATAAATTTCAAAGTGATATTAATCTTTCTCCTCCTATTCTCCCAATATAATTAAAAATAAGCCCACTGACACATCAACACACATATAAACACTTGCACATGGATAATTAAGTATACAGATTACTGTAAGTAACAAGTTGTAATCCCCATGACAGATGTTTGCCATCTGGAACTGCTTTCCTGCACTAAATCACCCTGCACAGTGACAAGCACCGAGGACACCACACTGCAGTCAGACTTCATAATCTCTTCATTATCCTTTAACCAGTTCATGGTCTACACATGTCAGCTCACCACCACCGACAGGACTCACCAGTCACAACTGCGTTACAAGCACTGTTGAAAAGGTGAAAGACTAATGGAAATAACAATCGAGACACAACCAGCATGAACACATTTGTTACCTTTGTTACTCGATTAACCTTTTATCAAGATTAATCGAGTGTTCACTCACTTTCTCCTCTGTGTGCCAATCTGCCAATTCACATCCATAATTATCAATTGATTCATGACTTGTTTACTTCAATTTCTGAATTTCCTCAACTCTGCCAGTCTCCCACTGCATTCTTCTTTAATGTGTTCTGGAAAAATACGAAAAAAGTCACGAAAAGCCATTTAACTCCTTTATCACATAATTTCATGTAAGCTGATGACCCTGTCCTCTTCCTTTATCTGACTGAAACCGTTCTTTAAATGTGATAAAAACACTTCATTTTTGGAACGACCTGTCGACAGTTTACATTTATGCTCACAATACCCATGTGTATAGAGAAAATTATGTTACAGTAATTGACACCATCTCCACATTTAAGAGTAGGCATAACACTTTTCTCTTTGATAAAGCTTATAGTTTGGGCTGGCTCAAGTGAGTCCTGTACCATATTTTGGTTATTTGAAAGATATTGTAACAAATATTACTTTCCCACCTATTTCATTAAGTGGTTTGGCAAAATACTGATTTTAAAATTGTGTTTGGGGAATTGAACATCTTGAATCTGAATTTTTCTCTTATATGAATAATGTATTTTACAGTATGTTAAATGAATGAGAAGTTACAAACGTGGGGAGCCTAGAGTAAAAGACCTGTTGTCTTCCACACTGTTCTCATAGTGCTCATACTGTACAGAGAGGAGCCCTAAAAACAAGACAGATAGTCTTTGGAAAAATATACCACTGGCTCTGTTCGATGAGATGTATTGTATTTGGAGCACAAAAGTCAAAGCCAACTTTTGACTGAGCAAACACACTCAAGTAACTATGTCTAAAGTGAAGAGTGTGATTGATGTAAGCCAGCACAGCCACAAATACACACACTTTCACCCACATAATTATGATGGTGAATGTATCTGTGTGCTTTATTGGTTCAGATCGTGAACAGTCACAACTCTTTTGTGAATCTTTTTTAACTTTGTTTTGTTGTGGTGTTACTGTATGAACAACAGGTGGCAGCAGAGTACACTATTTCCTCATGCAATAAGCAGCTTGGTTCTTTTGCAAGCTCATTTTGCTCTAGACTCAATATAACTTGAACAAAAATTAACAAAGTACAACAATGACCATGCAGGCAGAACCTAGAGTAACCTACCTCAATACTACACATCACCCAACCATCACCATACAGTTAACTGCACCAAATACTTTTCTATCAAAAGGGGATTCTGAATGTAAATATCAGATGGTAAAACAATGAGACTGGTGATAATTAATTTGGAGACTGAAGCACACAGAGGAAGCAAGAGATAAAAATAAACCTAGAAGAAGACGGTTACATAAAAGTGTGTAGCGAGGTGATGTAAAAAATTAAAAGCGGCCACACACTGTCAGCTCCAATCCACTGCTTTCACAGCCACAGAAGAAGAGGACGAGACTGAGAGGAGAAGGGAGAGAAAGAGTTTTAGGGGATGACATTTCACAAATGCAGGGTAATGCTGTGTAATTATATTTTGGTCATGGTAGAGGTTTGGTAAAAGTACACAGTACATAGATCTGAATATGTCTCTGCAGTGGGGGATGATGTGAATCTTGCTGCAAGGTTATGCACTTAGAGGACACTTGTGACTTGTAATAGCGAGGGACAGGTGCAGCATGGGTCCGGATGAGTGGGTTTCTGTCTTCACCAACACTCCTACTGTTTCCAATAGGACCTGAGTCTATACGAAAAAATGGTGTAGGCTCAAACACAAGAACTTGTATATTATAGTTTAGGCAAACATATCAAAAGAACCCACATCACCAACCTGGTTCTTTAAAGAAACACTGTAATTTCTGCTGAATAGTGGCTACTGTGGCTACACATGACAACCATGGGACATACTACAAAAACTACTTTTTGGCATTTAACTAAAATGCCAAGCTATTTGTAACTGTAGCAAATGGAGAAGAGTGATCAAGTCAGTGAACTGACTCCATACACTTTGTTATACAGCAATGTTTACCTCAAGTTTGCTAACATTAGCCAAGATTAGTCACTCTTCTGAATTGAACTTTCATTTGCAAGTGGAAAAATATGTTATTTGTTCTCTCAAATGTTACATACATTTAACACGAAACATTGTAAAGGAAGATGTATTACGTTTATTTTAAGGGGCCACGTGTAATTGTCATTGGCCTCTAGCGGTGAGGTTTCAGATTGCAACCACTACGTTTACAAGCGTGTTTTCCTGCGCATGCTCAAACTCGACATCAGCCTAAGCAGAGACAGAAGGCAAAATGCCAGAAACTCAGGTAAACCCCCAATGCAATGTTACAGTAATATTTTTTATCATCTTGACACTGAACTAACGAACGCTACGCTGACAGCATTTAGCCGACATGATACGTTGTGTATTTTTCACCAGAGAGGCACAGCAGTGTCAGCATAGCTACAATTTATTGAATGATAACGAAAACGGTTAGTGAGCTAGACTGAATGTTATAAATGAGATTGTTGCCACACTTTAGACACTTAACAGTTAGACCGCAGTAAGTAATGTTACTGGATCTTTCACTGTGTTGTGGTTCTGCACCATTATGTTGCATTATTGTATATGATATGGGTTATGTAAGTTACTTTTGGGTGTTTTTTGGTGTTCACATTCCCTATTGACAAGTTAGCACTCAGCATTGGCTAACAAACAAGGATTTATTGAATGAAAACAATCCACAACAATGAACTGCTGTATTGACCAACTAGACTCAATATTATACTTGTGGTAAGCTATATAGCATGCACAGGAATTATAATGAATACACTTACATGAGCCCTAATCAAACCTTAACCACAGTGTTGTAATATCAGAAAACAGTTGTATTTGTTAAAAAGTTAAATTGTTGAATCTAAATCTTTTTATTAATTTATACCTAACTGAGCTGATACATACCCCAAAATGTGAATGGGGAATACTGGCACCTATTTTTTTTTTGCAATTCAAGCAGTGAGTACAGTACGGCAAAGCCCAGCTGGTGGTCACTCAATTCTGGGTTGAGATATTAACCTTTAGCCTACCAGTCCATATTACACATTACCGT